TTTTCCACTAGCAAAAAGAAGTGTTTTTAATGCATGGCTATGTTACTGGGTGCTGCTAAAAATCTGACATTTGTTGCTTAGTCATTGTGGGAGAATAATAATAATAATAATAATAATAATAATAATAATAATAATAATAATTTTATTATTTGTACCCTGCCCACCTGACTATGGGTTGCCCCCAGTCTACTGTTCGGTACTCTGGGAGTTGTCTTGTGGTGTATGAAACAGGTGAGAGCTGCCCTCAAGGGTTTTCGAGTAAGATGCCACAAATATGGCATGCAACTCTGTTTCTCTATTCCATGCACTGAAGGGGGTTGGACTAGATGGCCTCTGGGGTCCCTTCCAACTCTACAGTTCTATGATTCTATTCCACCTGAATCAGGATAGGCGGGTCAGGCATTAGACCATTGCCTGGAGGTGGTGATGGACTGGGTGTGGAGCCAATAAATAGGAACAGAATGCTGGAAAGACAGAGGTGTTGTGTGTCTGAGTTCTTGAGTTTGGGAGGTGGGAAAATGTCATGTCCTCAGCTGAGTTGCACTCCCCTAGAAGGAACAGATCTCTAGCTTTGGGGTGAGGGGCTCCTGGATTCAGCCTTGCCAATGGAGGCACAGGTGTCTCTGTAACTAGGAATGCATTTTTCCAGCTTCAGCTGGTTTGCCAGTTATGGCCCCTTTTGTACAGAGCTAACGTGGTGCTGGAGGAGACTCTTGAGACTGCAAGAAGATCAAACTTATCCATTCTGAAGGAAATCAGCCCTGAGTGCTCACTGGAAGGACAGATCCTGAAGCTCCAATACCTTGGCCACCTCATGAGAAAAGAAGACTCCCTGGAAAAAACCCTGATGTTGGGAAAGATGGAGGGCACAAGGAGAAGGGGACAACAGAGGACGAGATGGTTGGACAGTGTTCTCAAAGCTACCAGCATGAGTTTGACCAAACTGTGGGAGGCAGTGGAAGACAGGAGTGCCTGGCGTGCTCTGGTCCATGGGGTCACGAAGAGTAGGACATGACTAAACAACAACAACAACAACAACAACATGGGCTTGGTACTCCCTGCTCTGGTTACTTCCAGAAGGGTTTATATAGCAATGTGCTCTTTGCAATGCTGCCCTTAAAGATGAGATTGAAACTTTTAACTGCTCCAAAATGCAAGATGACTGGCTGGGGTCAGAGGAGGTTTTTGGTGCCACCAAAACAGTGCTGTAGAACAGAGCGTGAGAGGCGGTGGTAGGGCACCAAATTTTAGTGTCACACAAGACGCTGCCAGAATCCGAGAGTGCAAAGCCCACTGCTGCTGGGGTTTCCCTTCAGAACTCAAATAATCTCTGTTTTGAAGCAGCTGCACTGGTTGGCTGGGTTCATTTCAGGGCCCCCATTCAAGTGCTGGTCTTGAAAGCTTAAGACTCCCTGGGGAGCAACTCTGCCAAAACTGAGAAGCAAGGGGCAGCGCAAAGGGGAAAGGGTGGTTGGGTGGGGAGGACAAGAGCAAACCAGGCACCCCACTGGGGTGTCTGAGGAGAAAATGGGGGAACGGGGGGAGAAATCCAGCTCCGTCAGTGGCGGCTGCATTTCGCCCCGTCCCCTCAGGCTCACTCCCCGCTCTCCCCCCCCCCGCCTGCCCATCTCCCTGCATGGAGGAATGGAAGTATGGGCTCCCCAGCCCCATTCTCAGCAGCATCTCACTTGTTACCAGACAAAGGGAAGGCCCTGCAAAACAGGGCTGCTATGCCCAATTGCAATTTGCGGGTTCCAGATCGGATGTCATCCCCACCTACTCCCTCTTGCCTCCCCCCCCGCTCTCTGCTCATCAGTCACAGCCTTTTGTTTCTCCCCCCTCGTCCTGCTCTTTCTAGCCATGCCCACAATGGTCTTCAGGAGGTACAGGGGTACCTCGGTTTAAGAACAGTCCGGTTTAAGAACAATTTGGTTTACAAACTCCGCAAAACCGGAAGTTGTGTCCCGGTTTGCGAACTTTGCCTCAGTCTAAGAACGGAATCCAAATGGTGGAAGGGCACCGGCCGCGGGAGGCCTCATTAGGGAAAGTGCGCCTCAGTTTAAGAACGGTTTTGGTTTAAGAACAGACTTCCGGAACGGATTAAGTTCGTAAACCAAGGTACCACTGTACTGACACCTTTCTTGCTAGGAAAAAAAGCACTGAGGGTATGTAATAAAATTATTTAAATTTTTGTGCTTTGCACTTCAACAGATTATTATTTTTTTGCCTGCTGCACAAAAAATTGTGAGCCTACTACATTTTTGGTTTCGCATCTCTTATGTAAAGGCCCTTAAACTTTGTCCATGAGTGTGTGAGACAAAGGCTTGGTTTAGTATCGTTCAGAATGTTAACATACCAAATGTAAAAACACAGGGTCTCGCTGAAGTATCCTTCCCCCATCAAACTGCTTCTCAGGATACTTCTCTGTGTTTAGTTAATACAGGCATTCATTGTGATCTCCTAGATGTTAGGAAAACAAATATTGTAAGGATCAGTAACATTCTAAAATGATCAGTTGTGGGAATTCATGCTTCTAGGAAAACAGCATTCTGTCTTATGCTGCTGGCTGTATTGCATGGTCTCCCCACAGTCTTGTTAGTGCATCCTAACTGAAATGAACCCCCCCCAAACTAATTGGACCTCATTGAATGTACATGTACAGTACAGTTATATGCATGTAAGATCCAAAAAAAAATCTGCAATTATTTTTCTGATTAATAGCTGAAGTATAGGACAGCTCCATATACTTTTAAATCCTTTTAAACAAATGATTTACTGAATCTTAAAAGTAGTTACATGTTGCACGTATTGACATGCAGGAACTGACAAAATGGAGACAAAAACGAACTGATATTTGAGCCGATGTAATATTTTAAATATTGTAAAAAGGATTGTATTTAAAGATATGTATCAAAGAATTGTGACAATGAATGGAAGTTTCTTGGGGGTGGGGGAAAAGAACACTATTGTGCCACATAAGACTTTAATCCAGAGCTTTCCTAACTTTTCATGTTGGTGACACACTTTCTAGACATGCATCATTTCACGACACAGCAATTCAGTTTTAACTAGCAAACCGGAGGTTAAACCTACCCCTTATAAGAGCGTTTGCGCGACACACCTGCACAAAGCAGCCGGCACACTACTGTGTCGCGACACACAGTTTGGAAAGCTCTGCTGTAATCTTATCCAGAGGTCTTTTCATTGAGCATCATCACTGTTATACAATCGAAAAATGTGGTGGTACAAACAAACAGTATGGACAGTGCTTTTATTATGCTTTACTGAATATGGTAAAACACTTAATACAAAGAGCTAGTCTTTAAGTCTTTCAGAAAGCTAAGTGGAAATCTGTTAAAGTATAACATGGCCCATAGCATTTCACTCAAAATCTTGTGACACTAAATTCATTGTCCGTGCTGTTAGTTCGTAGCATTTTGTGATTACTGGAGGTATAGTTGGGGGGGGGGGACTGTTGTCTGGTGAGTTAATACACAGTTACCTAGGTTTGTTGAGACAGACTCTTGGGGGTGGGGTGGGGAATTCACTCTGCTTGCACCAAGGGAAGTGGGATAATTAATTTCAAAGGGAAACATTAGCATCAGGGATTGGACTTTGAGAATATTATTTGAAAACAACCTAATGTGTCAGTTTTTGCAAGATTAAAGGCCACTCAAATGTTTCAAATTCCTATACAGAAAGGATTTCCATAGATGAATGAGCAGGCAACCTATATATAAATTGTTATATGCATGCATTCTGTTGCATTTACACACACTTAGGGGACACAGGACACCCCGTCCATATGTAGCAAAATCTATCCTTGTGTGTTCTCACATCTGAACACCCACATGTGGGTTCCGTATGAAATGCTGTTTGTGTTGAAATTTGCAAACATTTGACATACACCTAAGGCAAGGTGCCATAATTTCGTGCCGCCTGGTCTTGCACGTTTTTACTTGGAAGTAAGAGCTCTGTGGAGCTACATGGAGCTCCCTTCCTCTAAAGTGGGTTTGGGTGCAGTTTTTTGTGTTAGCACTGCAGGGGGTTGCAGTTACCCCTTAAGTGCTTTGTAGCCTGCATATTGTTCTGGAAAGACATCTGGTAGGTGCTCCTTCTATTAGGAACTATTTACTGCTTTAATAGGAATGTACTTAGTGGTACGGAAGGTTTGCAATGTTTTATTCCGTTGGTTTCCTCCGTATTGTATTAGCAGTCATTTCCCCCACACTCCCCTTGCAGTTTCAGTTGCATGCCATAATGTGGCCACTACATGATAGGCTTATTGGATGCCATGTTCTACAGCTGTTGAGGTTCCCCCCCCTCCATCTTTGTTAGGTAGAATTTTAGGCTGCTGCCCGGGAAGACCAGATTTGGATGTATTAGCTAGTCAGCCTAATAACCCTGTACAGACTGTATCGATTTTCTAGGAGAGAGTTTATGAACTAAATAAACTTGGAGTTGGTGTCTTAATAAACTGCTTCTCTCAGACTGTCACATTTAGTTACAGAGCTGCGCAGTTTGGTTGGTGCGGGGGTTTGGGGGGGGGAGAGAGAAGGCTAATTCTGTTACAGATTGTTCACAGCAGGGTCTCCAAATTAGCCCTTTGTTTTGTAATGCCACCTTGCTTGGGCTCGCTTTGAGCACATTTCTCAGTTTTACCCTAATGAGTTGCAACACTGATAATGTGGCTGATGATCTTTCATTGATTTCACTATCACTTGCTTGTCTGGTAATTGATCCGTTGCTGAGCCTCTAGTTAATTATATCGGCTTTGACATGGCCCAGTCCACGGGGAATTTCAAGTCTTGCAGAATAACAGTTTTAATAAAAGAGTCTATTACTGCAGGTGCTTGCTGCTGCATGCCACTTGGTTTTTGTGTGCGTGGGCTTTTTCCTCCCTCCCCCTTTCTCTCCCTAGGAGTGGAGAGGACTGCAGGACAGGAGTAAGGGGGGGGGAGGAAAGGGAGAGGTGGGGAGACAGCGCACAAGAGATGCAGAGAGGAGGAAACTGGCTACTGACATTCTCCTTAAGCCTCCCACAAATAACAGCCATTAGTGGGAAGGTCAGGAGCTGAGCAGGCAGCTCGACTAAGGCACTGAGTACCACTTCAGAAAGCAAGAGGCTAGCAAATTTTAGAGGGAGTTTAAGTGGGTAATAGCTGGCTCTAAAGGTACAGCCACTGTTGGCACAATTGACTCATAGGGGCTGTTTTCCCCCCCCTCCTTCTTCTTCCTCCTCCCCTCCTCGTTCCATGCAACAAGAATATTTTTATTGACCACAGGTGGACTTAATATATTTTAAGGCAACAGTTCTTTGGGCTCTTGTTTTTGTTTCTCAGATATTGAATTTGCAGCTTTTGAGACTGGTTTTTGTGTGCGTGCGTGTGCTTAATGGTGGTGAACTGGAGGGAAGTTTAACAGAAAAGCTTTCAGGAGATGCCAGGATCTAAAGGGGAAGACACATTTGTGTCAACATAGCGTTTGCTTTCTCATCTTTCCTCATTGCACACTAATGACACACGGCTGCCACTGAAGCTTTCTTGTGATTCTTTTGTTGTTTTGTGAGAGAGTGAGGTTTATTGTTGTTCTCCAGTTAAGGGAGAGCTTGCGAGAGTGGTACATTTGTCCTCTCAATTTGTAGATTTTATTAGAAGATGAATGTTCCTTACACATTAAGTTGAGAAAAACTAGACTCTTCTCCCCCATTTCTTTTAACCTGACTTGGTGTTGGTGGTTGTTGTTTTTTTATGAGAGGGCATGAATTTTGTTTTACATTTTTGAAGTTGCAGTGTTTATGTAATCCATGTAGGTGTTCTCTCCCTCTCGCTCCTCCCTCCGGTTTTTCCTCATAGGAGACCAAAGTACGTAACAGTACTGGGAAAATGCAAAGTGCATTGTTCTAAATAGAGCTTGGTTTTTAAAAAGTAGTTGGTGGCAGTGGCTTTCGGTTTTTCATTGTATCTAGCCTGTGTTAACAATCTTTACGCTGGTGGCAATCCTAAAAGGAAATGCTGCGGTTTGTTTTGTTTTTCTGGATAGAGTTGCCTTTTTATTTCGTTCATTTCACCCACTCCCTTTTGTGATCTGAAAGGTTATTGTATATTCCTCATCCAAGAACTTTACGTTTTTTTAAAAAATAAATAAATCAACTTTTGATCTTTATGGAAAAGAGAGAAGACACTTCTCTTTCCCCCGACTTCTGCTCCTTGAGGCATTTTAGGCAATTAACAGGGGAAAACAAAGATGTGAGAGATGAAACATGCATGCAGTTCTTTCCTAGTTTTCTTTTTAAAAGAAGTTGGAGATCGTCTTATTTCATCCCACCCCCTTCTTTTTTGGTAAGAGCTTTTTTTTATCATTTATAAAAAAAATTGGGGGGCTGGGGCTGTTGCAAAAGTGGCCACATAAAGAAGTAGCTATATTTTAAAAGCAGCCAGGCCAACTTCTGCTGCGTGGTGGTTCTGCATGCTATTGTCTAAATAAGTGAGCAATTGGTTGTCCCTCTGCTCTCCTGCCTTCCCTTCTCCTGTTAGGAGGTTTACAGTCTGCGTTTAATAGGCAAGTGTCAGCAATTACATGCTGTTCTTGACAGCATTGTTGAAGGAAAACAGGGGAAAGGGCCACAGCTTGTTCTTCTGAATTCACTCTGATCAGCATACTACTTAGAGTGTGTGTGCATGTGTATGCTTAAGGCTGCGAGGGGGCTATTGCAGTAATGTCATTTCGTGCCTGACAGTGGAACGGTGCAGTTGACTCTCTCTCTTGCTCTGCTATCCAATGACATCCAGTGGCTAAAGAGTATGAGGCTGATGGTTGGGTTTCCTCAGTGCTGCTTGCACACCTGACAGGCAGCTGTTAAACCCAAGCAAAGGCGAGCTTGGGGAGTCACAGTGTATGCATAAATGATAGGGGTATCTGTGCAGAAGGTGCGAAAGAAGCTCTGGCCCCCCTCCCCAAAGCTCTCCCCCCCTGCTTCCCAAATGGAAGGCACTGTGCAGCTAGCTTAACTACACTACTGCTACTGACTGCCAAGAGGCTCAAAAAAAAATCCACCTTCACTTTTCAGTCAGAAGAGGCAGAAGTGGATGTGAGAGACAGAGACACTCAGAGAGACACAGAACGAAAGAGGGCAAGAGACTTGACTTTGAGAGACTCCTGTGCTGACAACTCCATGCAGTTCGGAACAAGGACAGCAACGGCCGAATCTGGTTTCATGGGGACATGGCAGAACGCTGACACTAACCTCTTGTTCAGAATGTCCCAGCAGGTACGTTACTTTTTTTCCTTTCCTTTTTTTTTTTACTTTTAATGTCTCACACACGTTGAAGTGAATGTCTGTCTCAGTTTGTTGCTTGCCGGGTTGTGTGTTTCATTTTGCAATTTTACTTTCCACCCCCACCAACTCGTCTTGTCTGCGCTTTTGTTTTAATTTTAACACTGCACAGTTTCTGTAGTGTCATAACTAAGTAATTTGAATGTTCGTGCTTACTTCACTACATCCCCATGGGCAACTAAAAAAAAAAAAAGGAGAAAAGAGAGAGAGAGAGAACAAAAATAAGACATGCTTTAAAATAAAAGTCCTTCTCTCTCCACACCCCCTTTAAAGTTTTCTGAACAGATCATTAACTCCATGGTTAATATTTCTTGCCTTTTGTTTTCCTTTGTTTTCTTTTCCTTTCCCCTTCCTTCCATTTCTCTCTCTCTCCCCTCTCTCTTTTTTAAATAATAATAACAATAACAACAACAATTAATAATAATAATAATAATAATAATAATGAAGTATCATAGTATCCCAGCAAAAAGTCTTTTCTTTCTTTCTTTCTTTCATTCCTCTCTTCCCACCCCACGGAATATGTAAGACCTCATATCAAAACTGATACTAAACTTGGGAGAGGGGGGTGCTTAATTGAGTTCAGGTGGCAGAAAACAGCCTTATGCAGACCTAAGGGGGAAAGAGAGGGAGAGAGAGAGAGTTCAGTTGTGCTGGAATTGCTGGCAGCCCATAGCTGAGGGTCCTTAGATGAGACAGTTTCAGTTGCTGGTCTCTCTCCCTCACTCTGCGCCCCCCCCCCCAAATACTCTCACACACATACTGTTTCTGCAGAGAGCTGTGTCTTGGCGTCATCCCCAGAGCAGTCCCTTCACCGGGGGCCGCGTTTAAGGCAGCCTGGTGTGGCGGTTCTGACGGGAAAGCTAAACCGTTGCTGCAAGGCCAGTAATAACTGATAATTAATCACAGGGGCTGCTGTTGTCTCTGTATCATGTACTCGGTGATACGCACCCCCAGCCTGATGTGGCTACTCTTTCACAACTGTTTGACTCTTCTGCATGAAATTGCACACACACACACAATTGAAGGGATGAAAAAGAAACTTTCAACTTGGACTGGACTCAAGCAGAGGGGGGATGGAGGTTTAAAACTAGAGACTTTTTTAAAAAAAAATAAAAATGCATATGTTAGGGCTTCCCCCAATTTTGTATTTTTGTTTTTTAAAGGAGTTGCCTTTTTGGGGGGGGGAAGAATTTTTTTTTCCATATGATAAGAAGCTGAAGCGACAAAAAGTTGTGACATAAGTTGTAGTGCTTTGGCGAGCCCGTTTTCTTTTCAGGGTTTGTTTTTGTTGTTTTTTATGAATGAATTCCATTGACGCAAAAGCGCTGTCATTTCTAGAGTAGTTGTGGCTGAGGATATATAACTGGCTGTTGGTAATGTAAAGAAAAGATCGTTTGCTTGGTAATCATTAGGAAAGAAATACACACTCTCTCACACACACAGGCTCACATGGAGGCAAGTTTATAGCGTACAATAGTTGTGTACAGAAAAGATTTTAAAACAGCGTGTCTCTCTCTATAGGCTGCCTGCATTCAAATAAGGTATATTTAGATCTATCCTGTAGAGGGACCCTTATTACAACTGATAACAGCTTACTATTCAGAAATATAATCAACACAAGCCAAATGAGGAACTCCTTATATGCTGTTCCTTATTCTTAATCAGTGAAAAAGACCTAGAGCCCAGTTTGAAAAAATATCATTTCAGATCTTCTGTTCTGGACACCAATATATGCTTTGATTGTTATAGTAGACTGCCTCTGTATGTGACATTTCCTGCATTTAGGTGTTTTTGCATTCATTTTAAAGCAAGGAAATTGACAGCCATCCTAAACTTAACCTGTCGTTCTATTTTCAGTACCTTCAAATGTATTCAGGTATAGCAGCTTGGGATGAAAGCCGCCTTCCCTCTTTGGCAATAAAAGAGTTAATTCAACTAGTGCCAGATAATGATCAATGGATAGATAGATCACTGTTGAACCACATACATCGTGTTAGATTGCATTTGAGTGTTTGACTCCCCCCCACCCCCACCCCGAGTTAGACATTTATTCGTTTTGGGGAGTACTGGAAAAAGTGCTTGATGTTAGGATGTGCAGGGATGTAGAAATTTAAGAGGAGGACATCACGTTCCAGAGGACTGGGCAAAAAATTGTTGGTGGGCAAAAGCAAGCCCATCCACAACTCAGCTGTTACTTCTCTATTGTTGTTAATTGTGCTAATGCATGAGGATCTTAAAATGGTTGGTTATCTTCCCCCCTCCCCTCCCCAAAAAAAATATTACTGGACACATATGGCCATGTTTATTTTTCTGAGACTGTGTTGGGAAAAGAATAATCATCTCGTACATGGCTAAATGTTTGGCAGATGCAGGCACAGTAGTTTTGTAAAGGTGGTAATGATGAACATATTTATTTTGAAAGTGTGCACTATTTCTCCATGTCCTTGGTGGTTAGAATGCTGCTGTCTGCTTAAAACATTCCACCCAGAGTTTTGTATTTCTACCCCCCCCCCACTCCATTTCTTTTTCTTTTAAGAGGGTAAGTTAATTCCACTTGCAAAGTATAACAGCTTTAACTTTTTATTGACTTGCTAAATCTCTTAGATATGTTTACTTATGCAGCCTGCACATGACAGCCGTTTACTAGGGCACCTAAAAATATGCCTGATAGCTACCAGTGTTAAGATTTCCCCTCCCTTGAAAGCATTATGCATGGGTCTATTAACACACACACACACACACACCCTTATTTATTTGTTACAGTTATGGTTTTAGGACTTCTGCAAACTATTTTGTCCATATTATTATTGTTATTTTAATATCCATACATTTGAGGGTAACTTTTGTTTCTTGTTCAAAAGTAGAAACAGTTGGTACAGAAGATGCTTATATTGCAAGCAAAAGTTTGGCATCATTTAAAGAAATGATTCGTGAGACATTTTGGGCTTGTCGGAATATTTCATTCTACGTGTAAAAAAGGATTATTATTACTATGCAATCAAATACTTGCTTAGGTTAGAATTAAATGGTACTTTTAACTTCAGGTGGATTTGTGATACAATGACGGAAAGCCAATACCTGTACAGAGGGTACGTAGTTTAAAACCTTAGTTTATACTATGCTAAGCCTTTTCTGAGGATGCAGTGGTGAAAAAATAATTGTTATAAATGCCACAGGTAATCAAAGCAAGTTTTTATGTGCCATCAAATCATATTTGCATCTCCATTTACTTGTTGTGAGTTTTGATTCAATGTTTGCATGTTTTTGTTTTTTGTTTTAAAAAAGCCCTTTGTTATGAGACAATTATGCATGGTACCCAAAGGAGTGTTCAGTTTTAGAGGAGAGTAGCAAATTATATCCCCAGTTACCTTTTCTGAAAAGGCTGCTTAACCATTTATCAGTTCTAGTTTTGTACCTCTAAACACACACATACACACCCCGTTTATGAATCCTTTGAAAGGAACCATTCCTGATACGTATACATAAATAATTGCTGATAACTTCAAAGAAGGTAAATCTCAACTTTTTAAAGAGAGTTCTTCTTTGGGTCACTTTGATCAGTGACAGGTCGAGAATGACCAGAAACCTTTGGCTTCTTTTTCTTACTAATCTGGCAAGAGAAACCACGGTCGAGTTCAGAGAGTGTGCGTACATTCACAGACAGAAATGCTTGACCCCCTTTCCCAGTTTGCAGGAGGCTGCGTAAAGCCAGAAAAGGCCTGCTTTGATTGATAAAATAAAAATAGAAGGCTTTTCTGAATTTTCTGCTTTTGTAGATGTTTTGTGCCATTGTCAGAATAAGAAATGTCACTCTCTTCCTTCCAGTTTACCTTAAGGGCTGTGATGCTCTAAAATACTTTTAAGCAATGAGTCCATAAGAGCAAAAGAAGCAGTAACGCACAGTGACACAAAATGCCAGAGATGAGCAAAAGCATGCCTTATATTTCCTGTTTCATGTGCAAAGGAAATCTCCCTCTCTTGAAGGTATCTCCCTCTCTTCAGCCAGTTAAAGAGCAATATTAGGATTACGCATGCATCTGCAAACCATTATACAGTAATTTAACATTCACCCAGTGATGTAACAAAATTAACAACATAATTTCATTGTATAACTGTATCTTATTAAAGGACAACTGTCTGACATTCTCATACACTTGCCTTATTTAACTTCCTGCAGATATTATTAGTAGTGACAATTTTTCTATTGTGCATTTGATTCTCTCATTAGCACGATGTCATAGTTATCACTAGAGAAATCATTTCCTAGATAGGTGAGGGGAAAGCCAAGGCAAACTAAAAATCAGATCAATGTACTTGCTTTAATAGGGATACATCTGTCCATCAGAGGGGATATTTTGTGTGTGTGTGTGTGTGTGTGTCAGTGTATTGGGGAAAGGTTTATAAAAGCTTCTTTATTTGGCTCGGATAAAATGCTACCTATTCTAAGATTTAAAATATGTGAACTACCATGTATAAATTTTTGTAGAAATGGCTTGATTAAAAATCAAGCACAAAGCATAGCATTTAAATTGTGCTCGTGTGCTGCTGTTTGATTGCCCATGAGCGAGAAAGATGCACAAGCCCTTTATTGAATAGGTACTTAAAATCAGAAACGTGGGTACGTCTAACTATGGATCACACACGTTGAATGGAGAAAAGTGGTTTACGATTTCTTTTACATCATAAAAGCATCCCCCCCCCTTTGTTTCCTCTAAAGAGCACCTAAATTTTATTTGTTTAATTGCAATACGCTGCTATAAATGACAGCATGTGATACGTCCCATACACAGGTTTACTGTCAAAAGCCGTCTGGCAAACTGCATCTTAGCAGGAGAAGCTCCTAGCAAAAGATGTGAGTGGTGTCTTTTTATTTTGCATCCTCAGCAGTCGCACGATTTGATATTTAGTTTTCCCTTCCACAATGTTGCAAGTCG